GCATCTGAAGATAGTGTTTCTTTCGGTTGTGGGGCAAAAAAACAGAAAAAAAAGAAAAAAGGAAGAGTTAGTAAAGCTGATATTGGAATTCAATAAAGGCCAAAAAGGAGTGCTGAATAGCAAAAGAAAAGCCAACCTACTAAACATTGTCTTTGACATTTCTTATCTTCATGATTGCGCTTGCTTTGTATTGCCAATTCATACTCTTTTAGCAAATAGTCGAATGTGTATTCAAAATATGTTTATTTCAAAAAATAAGTTTCTTGAAAACTAAATAATAAAACAAGCAGCTTTTTTAACTTAAAAAGTAGAAACCGAGAAAAAAAATCAAAATATTATAAATTTATCCTCCTTTGGTTTTCTTTTTGAAGACTCCAATAATAATAATAAAATAAAAAAATTTAATGGTAAATTGCCTTGTTTTCAACGAAGTACATTTTTCTTCAGCATTACAAAGTCATTATTTGAAGGAAAAGATCAGAAGATATGAATGTTTTTCCTTGTGAAACTTCATATGCTTTACAGCGAGAATTTTCAAGAGAACGGACCAATAACAAATTCTTGTAACCTTTGTAGTGAAAACGAATGAAGGAACAAATTCGTTTTGCGTTGCAAAGTCACATTATGTTCTTTGATTGGATGATTAATGTTCTTTGCTTAAAGTTGCAAGACAGAAGAGTGAGAAATTGCATAACCATTTTCAATTAAAACATTTATTTTATTTTCCTTTTCAGTTTCAGTGAAAAATTGCATAAAATCTATGTATTTGTCAAAAGTCATAGAAAAAGACGTTTATTTATTTGTTTTTGAAAAAAGCCAGTGAAGAAACTTCTAGCCTCGCCAATTATTCAAGTAGAGATATTTTGTCTACAAAGAAAATATTGATTAAGTGGGGCTGACTTACTTAACAGTGGAATTTAAAGGAACAGTGCTCAATAGCAAAAGTAAAGCCTATTCCCACACAGTCTTTTGCACCTATCATCTCCTGAACTGCCTTGCCCTGTGTTTTCAATACCATTTCTTGCTTGCATCCAAACATTTAGTTTCCCCTTCTGCTTTTCCAATTTCTCTTACAAAGATACATTTTTTCCTTTGGAAAACAGGCTATGGATGAAGGAATTGTTTCTGCTCTTGTGAGTAAAATAGTGGGGAACTTGAACTCACTATTGCTCCAAGAGCTTGGAACTGTTTCTGGCGTAAAGACCAAGGTTGCCAATCTCAAGAGCACTTTCTCAGCGATTCAAGCTGTGCTCCATGATGCAGAGGAGAAGCAATGGAAGAGTGAGGCTGTGAAGGATTGGCTCAGAAAGCTCAAGGATGCTGCTTATGATGTACAAGATGTACTTGATGAGTTCGAACTTGAAGCTCAAAGGCGTCAGCTACAGAGAGATCTGAAGGACCGAGTTAGATACGTCCTCTCTCTTGATCGTAATCCACTTATTTTTCAAGTAGAAATGGCACATAAATTGAAGGATGTGAGAGGAAAATTAGATGCCATTGCCAAGGAGAGGACTGAGCTCAGCCTAAATGAGGGAGTTGGGCATGTAGAGCAAGATAGCTACGAAAATTGGCGACTTACCAGCTCGTTCGTGAATGAGTCAGAAATTTGTGGAAGAGGCAAGGAGAAAGAAGAGCTGATCAACATGCTGCTCACCAATTCAGATGATCTCTCTATTCATGCTATATGCGGAATGGGGGGACTTGGAAAAACAACAATGGCTCAATCAGTCTACAATGATGGAAGTATAGAACGGCATTTTAGTTTGAGGATTTGGATATGTGTATCTGTTGATTTTGACATAAGGAGATTAACAAAAGCCATCATTGAGGCTATTGAAGGCAATTCTCCAAACATTCAAGAGTTGGACACCCTTCAACGGTGCCTCCAAGAAAAGCTAAGGGGTAAAAAGTTTTTGCTTGTACTAGATGATGTGTGGGATGATGGCCTTGATAACTGGAATAGATTGAAGGATGTATTGATCAGTTGCAGAGCTAAAGGAAGTGTTGTGGTAACTACTCGTTTGAGGACTGTTGCTGATAACATGGCCACAACTCCTGTTCAACACATGGAAGCATTATCAGATGATAATTCCTGGCTTTTATTCAAGCAGCTTGCATTTGGGAAGAGAAAGAAAGAGGAGTATGCACACTTGGAAAAGATTGGAATGTTGATAGTGAAGAAGTGTGGCGGGGCTCCCTTGGCTATAAGGGTACTTGGAAGCCTAATGAGCTCGAAGAAAACTAAAAGTGAGTGGTCATCTGTCAAAGAAAGTGAAATTTGGGATCTGCCAGATGAAGACAAGATTTTGGCTGTGTTGCGTTTGAGTTATCAGAACCTAAAGCCACATTTGAAGCAATGTTTTGCATTTTGCTCTATATTCCCCAAAGACCATGTTATGGAGAAGGATCGGTTGGTAGCTCTATGGAGGGCAAATGGCTTCATTTCTTGCAAAGGGCGAATGGATTTGCATGACAAAGGCCATGAGATTTTTTATGAATTATTTGGGAGATCATTTTTTCAAGAAGTGAAGGATAACGGACTGGGCAACATAACATGCAAAATGCATGATCTTATTCATGATCTTGCGCAATCTATTATGAGACATGAATGTTGTTTCATTGCGGGCAATACAGAGACGGAAATTTCTGAAACAATTTGTCATCTAGCTCTTGATGGGACATCTCATTCCACTCTCAGCGAGAAGGTTCTTCAAGCTCGGCGATTGCACTCATTTTTGTTTCTTAATCCCCCCGGGACATCCCCTTGGAGTGATAACTTTGATCTCTACTACTCTAGACAAAAGTATCTAAAAGCCTTGGATATCTCTAGTTTCTCTTTTGACAAATTACCACATTCAATTTGTAAGTTGAAACATCTAAGGTTTCTAGATGTCTCCCGTTCCATCATCGAATCACTGCCTGAATCACTAACCTCTCTCCAAAACCTTCAAACACTACACCTGAGAGGTGCTACTCAGCTCATCCAACTACCAAAAGGTATGAAGCACATGAAAAATCTCGTCTATCTTGACATCAGAGGTTGCATTTCACTCAGTTGCATGCCTGCTGGAATGGGACAATTGACCCGCCTGCGAAAGCTTAGCCTGTTCATTGTGGGTAAGGGGGATGGTCATCACATAGGGGAGCTAGAAGGTCTGAATTGTGTTTGCAGTGAACTAAGCATTACAGATCTTGGTAATGTTAAAAGTTTAACAGATGCCAAAAGTGCCAATTTGACAGGGAAGCCGGATCTTCAATCGCTGACTTTATCTTGGCATCGGAATGGAGTTTATCTTATTAGCCACGAGGATGCAGAAACATACAGTGGTAAGGTCCTGGAAGGAAGTGTTGTGGAGGAAAACATTGAGGAGGTTCTTGCTGGCCTTCAACCCCATTCAAATCTGAAGAAGTTAAGGATATATGGATATGGAGGTTCAAATTGTCCAAATTGGATGATGAGCGTGAACTTAACGCTACCCAACCTAGTGGAGATCTTGCTGGAATGGTGTGGCAATTGTGGACAACTTCCACCATTTGGGAAGCTACAGTTCCTTAAGCGTCTTGAATTACATGGAATGGATGGCGTGAAGTGCATTGGCAGCGATGTGTAAGGAGATCTCTCATAAGAGGAAAATTCATTTCCATGTTTGGAGACTCTGCATCTTTATTCAATGAAGAGCTTAGAGCAATGGGCACATCCAGTTCCTGGGGGAGAGAGTTTTCCTCGCCTTCGAGAATTGTATGTAGATGATTGCCCTATGTTGATCGAAATACCAATTACACCCTCCTTGAAAACATTACGAATCGAGGGATGCAATGTTACATTGCCGATGTCTGTTAAGAATTTGACTTCTCTCACCTCCCTTGATATTATCTCAATTCCCAGTTTGATGCGTCTTCCTGATGGATTGTTGCAAAACCACACACTCCTTGAGGAATTACGAATTTCTGATATGAAAAATCTGCAATCCTTGTCAAATCAGATATTAGATAACCTTTCTGCTCTTAAAAGCTTGGATATGGACGATTGTTCTGAACTTGGAAGCTTGCCAATTAATGGATTTCGTGGCTTATCTTCTCTTCGTGGCTTAGAGATTTGCTTGGATATGGACGATTGTTCTGAACTTAGGGGTTCAAAATTGCGCTGGATTTGAGTCTCTATCCGAGGGAGTGCAATATCTGACGGCACTAGAGGATTTGCTTCTTAATGGATGTCCGAAGCTGAATTCATTGCCAGAGATTTTCAAACATCTAACTTCTCTACAATCTCTAAGAATATGGAATTGCAGGGGATTATCTTCTCTGCCAGATCAGATTGGACATCTCACGTCTCTTTCACGCTTAGAGATTTGGGATTGCCCTAATTTGATGTCTTTGCCGGATGGGGTTCAGAGTCTCAATATGCTTAGAGAGTTAGAAATTATAAAATGTCAAAATCTAGAGAGAAGGTGTGAGAAAGAGAGAGGAGAGGACTGGCCTAAGATAGCTCACATCCCTAATATTCAGATAAAAAGTAAAATGTGGTATGAACGATAATAGCAATTGGGCTTTTTGGGTGTAAAAATTTCACTGTAATTTTCTTCCCCGTATTCTTTTCTTTTGCTGAAATTATTAATACATGCTTCTTCTTTCTTTGCTTAGTCATGGTAATTTTCTTCCGTTGTACTTTCTTTTGGTGAAATTGTGGCATTCTTCTTCTTCCTTTTTGTTTTTTCCCTCGTCACTTATGTAAATTTTAATGCCAGAATATGCACCTTCAAGTATTTTATTCGAACTATTTGTCTTCTAATCATATGATCTTGCTTTGGTGTAGCTTGGATATTCCAATTTCTGGTGCAAATTTCCCTCCTTAACGATCTACTTTGTCATTGCCATCTGATCGCCTAAGTGTTTCTGTCAGGTAAGTTGCTAGTAATTTGTATCTTAAGATTGTTATTATGTTTTCTCATAATTAATATTCTTGATGCTGCCTTGATGGGTCACCGCATCCATTCTCATAGATGATGGATCCACCATTCCAAGAGCATTTTTCTTTACCGGTTGATGAGCAGTGCAGAGTTCTACAGTATAATGATACATTATCCGGCAGGAACTTGCAGTAATCTCCCTTGTCTTCTTGTAGGCCTCCTTTTGGAGTTGATAGGTGCCTGCCTGTTACCTGGAGGAAATGTATGGCATGCTCCTTGGATGAACAAGAGCATGGAGCTGCCAATGCCAAGATTTCATGTCATAGCCTCATCATCCAGCTGAAATCTGGAAGTATGCATTTGATGGAATGGTTGAGATGCCAACCTCTGTTCATATGCACCATGGAAATGGTAGTGGTCAAGGGAACTCAATGTGGCAACCTCATGAAGCTTGGGTAAATTCTTCTTCTGTACATGCACAAACATCTATCTATTTTTTCTGTATTGTTCTTCACTGATGTTGCTTCGATTGATTTTGAGTTTATTCACACTTTGTTTGCTGGGTTTATATTTGCAATTCTGAATATGTACACGATAAACCAGTTCATGCTGCTTGCATATCCTTAATTTGGTGGATGCTTTGTCTCATGAAAGCTTATTCTCACTTGGGTATTGGATCCAGGATACCAGTGATGTTGATCAATCAAGAAAGATATTATGCGGCATTTCAAACTCAGAACCTGCACTACTGTCAAGAGGACTTGCCAAATTGCTGAGGATGATCTCTTTTACTGCCCAGATTTTTATTTGAACTGACAAGAAATTTCTACCGTGTTGTCTATGGCTAGAAAGTTAAGAAGGTGGAAGTGGCATGAGCATTCAGATGAAGTTGACGAGAGATTAATGGCATTAGATGGTTTTCATTTTCATTTCTGTTCGAATGTTCTCTCAAAAGATATATTTATGAAGTAACTAAACGGATCATTTCATTAATTTAATTACTCATAGAGGTTCTCATTCAGTGTTTTTTTATTTATTTTTTCTTGATCTACTGCTATCCAAGTACTATATATAGGCCATAGGGAGTTCAATATCAAGCTCGTTGCCCCTGGTTTTCCTAGTTCATAGAATGGAAAATCGCACAATCTTTTTAGTTTACCCGAGTGAAAGTTAACGGTTCTAAAAAGAGGGGAAAACATTAATACTTTTTTAATAATTTTTAGGCAATTTCAAAGGCATAACCCTTGCAATCTCAATTGAATTTGCTATGAAATTACAAACAGACAAATCCAATTAGAAGGCTGGATCCAACTAAAACTAGAATTAAAACAAAAGGCATTTCTTAGAGAGTTAATAACGTTTAATTATTTAAAAATAAAATTAATTCAATTAAAGATATTAAGATGGATTAAAGAATTATCTTATTATATAATAACATATCTGCCAACATCTGCCGTTAACCATTCCTTGAGACAAAAGGCATTTCTTAAATTTCCTAGTCAATGGTGTCCTACTGTGTGCGTTACTGGACCAAAGGCATTGTTTGTGGCTCCACTTTCTCCATTCCAAATTTTTTGGCCCAATCCCATCCATACCCCCATAACGTGTAACTAATCTCCCATTAATCTTCAACTTCAACGACCTAAAACCAAAGCTGTATTTATTTGGAAAAAAAATAAGTTTTAAGAAATTGTTTTCTTTATTTTTCATTGTTTATTTTGTATTTAGGAAAGAAGCCAACAGAAAAAGATAGAGTATTTTTGAGAAAATATTTTTTTAGTTTAAAAAAAGAAAAGCATTTTCCTTCTCACAAGTTCGTCTCGCTCTCGCGTTACTTTTCTCTCTTTATTGATATATTTTAACAATTTTTTTATCTTTTTTTATTTAAAATATATCAAATTAATTTTTAATTATTCCTTATCAATTATTATTTATTATTTAATTATTTTTTCTCTATTTCTACTAATATTTAATTTTTTTATTTATAGATACATTAAATATTAAAAACTATTTTTACACCTTAAAATTATTTTTATAATAAATATTTCAATAATTTGTTTTTATTTTTTTTACTATTATCTCAAACACCAGATACACTATACTTAAATGATTGAAAATGATCATTACAAGATTGTACTTTTTGTAAAAAAATTAAAATTAATTAATTCATTAATAAATACATTATTTTTTCAACATTATTCATTTGCAACTAAATCAATAATTTGTAATTTTAATCATTTGTAAAATTTTGTTGATAATTATAGTGAATAATTAGTAACAAATTATTCCAACATTAATATTTTGAAACCAAATGAATAATTATCAATATAAAATTATTTTTTAGACTAAATTATCAGTTCAATTTCTAAAAGAAAAAATGATTCTTAATTGAGTTACCAAAATAACAATGCTAGGATTATTTAGAATTTTTTTCACTAAATGTGAATATTGACTTGATTTTGTTTCAAATAATTTTAATGAATTGATTTGATGGTTAAAAAAAATATATTTTATGTTCTTGAATTAAAATTTTAGAGTCAGCATTTATGAAAATTTATTAAATTTTTCTAAATGTATCTTATATTATGAAATTATGAATATGCATTTTTGAAGTTTTCTCAAAACTTGTTAATATAACAATCATATATTGTTTTTGTATTTTAATTTTCTGTATCAAACAAACGTGAAAATATATTTTTAAGTGGTTTTTTCATGTAATTGCCAAACGATAGAAAATATTTTTTTAAAAAATAATTTTCTAAAAAATAGCTTTTTCAGAAATTAATTTTCTTATAAAAATTGTTTTCGCAAAACAAACAGAGTCTAAACGTCTTGTTCACTGGTTGCCGCCATTTTTCTACGCAAACCTTCTCCAAGCTCTCTCTCTCTCTCTCTTCCCTTCAATTTCTCATGCACATAACTGATAATTAAATCTCATTGTTATTTGAAACTAATAACCATCTTAACTGACTTCTAACACCCCGCTTCAAGAGGAGCATGGATGTTAACCATGTTCATCTAGTCTAGAAGAAATTGGAAACATGCAGGTTGTAAAGGTTTTGTGAAGAAGTTTGCAAGTTGAAGGTCAGAAGGTACATACCGAGGCTTCACAATCCCAGCCAATACCTTTTCTCTAACAAAGTGGCAATCCATTTCAATGTGTTTTGTTCTCTCATGAAAGATTGGATTTTTGCTTATGTGAATGGCAGATTGATTGTCACATTTAACCAAAACTCCATTCTTTTGCTCAAAACTCAGGTTTGTCAATAATGACAGTAGCCAAATTATTTCGCAGTAAGTGGAGGCCATTGCACTGTATTCAGCTTCTGCAGAGCTTCTTGCCACCAAAGCTTGTTTCTTAGACTTCCAGCCGATAAGTGACTGCCCTAGAAACACACAATAACCTGTGACTGATCGTCTGGAGTCCTTGTAGCCTGCCCAATCACTGTCTGTATAGGCTTGAAATTGAATATCAGACTGAGAAGGAAAGAATAGTCCTTGTCCAGGTGCTATCTTCAGATACTTCAGCACTCTAAAAGCTGCTTGCAGGTGGATTTCAGCTGGTTTATCCATAAACCGAGACAACACTTGAGTTGCATAGCATATGTCAGGTCTTCTGAATGTTAGATATAATAATTTGCCAACGAGTTGCCTATAAACCATTGGTTTTTCAAGGAAATCAGAGTGTGCCTGTACAAGTTTGTTATTCGGATCCATTGGAGTGGAGATGGGTTTAGCCCCCAGCATTCCATGCTCTGCCAGTAGATCAAGAATGTATTTTCTTTGACATAAAGAATTTACCTTTGAAGATCTTGCAACTTCAATGCGAAGGAAAAATTTCAGCTGCCCTAAGTCCTTCATCTTTAACTGAGAATGCAAATATTTCTTGAATGCTTCAATAGCTTCGGTAGAATTACTTGTAATTACTATGTCATCGACATAAACAAGTAAAGCAAGGAAAACATTAGAAGAAATGCTTTTTGTAAAAAATGAATAATCTGACTTAGACTGGGAGAAACCAAAGGCTAAAAGAGCAGTGGTGAGTTTATGATTCCACTGTCTTGATGCTTGCCTCAGTCCATAAAAAGACTTGTGAAGTTTACAAACCAAACGAGTCTGTGCCTGTGCCCCCTTGGACCTGATAACCAGGAGGAAGGTCCATGTAAACGGTCTCCTCTAAATCACCATTAAGAAAAGCATTGTTTACATCCATTTGGGACAAACACCAACCTTGATTCGCAGCAAGAGCTAAAAACAACCGAACGGCGGTCTGTTTAACCACGGAACTAAAGGTCTCTTGAAAGTCATAGCCGACTTGTTGACTATAGCCCTTAGCTACCAAACGAGCCTTGTACCGTTCGACAGAACCATCAGCAAGGAGCTTGATCTTATAAACCCGCTTGCAGCCTACGGTATGATGACCAGTAGGAAGAGGGACCATAGTCCAAGTATGATTGTGCTCAAGTGCAGCAAGTTCTTCATTCATAGCAGCTTGCCAGTGAACAGACTGAATAGCTTCAGCATATATGCACGGCTCTGAGATAGTTGAAAGGGAAGATACAAAGGCAACATGGGAAGGTGATAGAAGGGAGGTGGAAAAAAGTTATGAATAGGATGAGCTGTGGAATAACAGGTGGATACATTTGTAGAAAGCAGACTTGTATGATAATCTACCAAGTAAGTGAGAGGTTTAGTGACACGGTTGCTTCTTCTAATAGGAACAGGAAGAGGATGAGAGGATGAAGAAAGGTCAACAGAGACAGGCTGAGAAGAATTAGGTGGATTATCACAACTAGTAGTAACTGGATGTGAAGTAGCAGATGGTGGATCTGGTGAATCCATAAGTATATTAGGAATAGTAGATGAATTTGAAGGAGATATAACCGCAGGAAGTTGGTTATGTGCAGCAGAGGAAGAAAAAGGAAAGACATTCTCATGAAATGTAACATCTCTAGAAATAAAGATAGTTTTAGACTTCAAATCATAAAGTTTGCATGCCTTCATTCCAACAGGATAACCAAGGAAAATACACTCTCTGGCGCGAGAATCAAATTTTTTTCTATTATGAGGAAGATTGGAAGCAAAGCAAAGACAACCAAAGACTCTCAATTGAAGGTAACTAGGAGACTGATGGAATAACATCTCATAAGGAGACTTATGGTTTAAAGTAGGAGTTGGAAGCCTGTTTATTAAGTATGTTGCAGTGAGAACCGCATCCCCCAAAAACTGATTGGTAGGCTAGCTTGGAACAACAAGGCTCTAGCAATTACCAGGAGATATTGGTGTTTTCGCTCAACAACTCCATTCTGTTGAGGAGTACCCACACAAGAACGTTGATGCATAATGCCTTTAGTGGAAAAGAAATCAAAGAGGTTAAATTCCAAACCATTATCAGACCGAATCTATTTAATGGAATGACCGAACTGATTTTGAACGAGATTGAAGAAACTAGGAATGAT